CAATAGAAAATAATATAATTAGAATTAGATAAAAGTGTGGCCGAAATAAAGTATAAATAGAATTTTTGGAACATATTTTCGATGATGATGATGATGACGATTTTGATGAGTTAAATTTAATTATTTTTGGGATATCTCGACATATTTACAGAACGCAATATTTTGAAAGTTTTGATAGCGGTATAGAATGTTTAATAATAAACTCTTTCTTTAACTGAATAGTTTGGTGCACGCTTGGTTTCAGTTTTTAATTTTGTTTTATTTTCCATCTTAACTGTTAAAGTACAAAATGCAAAATTACAACACAAACTTTAATCAAATAGATGACAATTCGACACTGACATTGATTAGTAATATACAAATTCTCTAAAATTTTACACTGCTGCCAAGTTGTTCTTCACCTTAGCATAGATTTTGTTAAGTGAAACCTATTCAAAACGTACCAAACTTAAGGTTCACCTTAAGTCAAGGTACACCTTAGCTAAACCGTATTTGTAAGTTGAAGTGGTGCAAACGGCCCTAAATGGACTGTATATCAAACGATTGTGGAAATAATGTACTTTATTATATCAAAACATGACGTGACATTAGTAAAATTCAATGACAATCAACAATAACAAAAAAGAACATATAACTCAATGAGGTTGAATCACATACTTTGATTTTCTTTTACTAATACGGAGAATGGTCGCACTGCGCAGCTTTCTGAGTGCATTTTAAAAGGTGATAGAAAAATCCGCCATTTTGAACCCTTATTACGTGTTGCCTACATCTTGGCGCAATATTTTTAATAGGTGCGTTTTAATTATCCGCTTCAGCTTCGGAATTGTCGGTTTTCTTGTTTTAATCTGACAGGTTAAAACGACTAAACCGATAATTCCGGAAGCAGAAGCGGATGATTAAAACGCACCTGATATTTTGCTTGCTGTGTCAGTGAATATTATTTTTGAAGTCACAGTTTATTGCTAAAGAATCAGTTAGCTCACTCGGACCAGTTGAAAGTTCTAAAATAACATCCACTCCAGGGATACAAATTCAGGATACGCAGAAGACTGCTGTTTTATTATAGGCGATTATCATATATTGTATTATCCGAGTTGTACAGTGTATAAACTGGAACATTGAGATCAAAAGTGCCGACGCAGAGTGAGCAATCTGATTCTTTAGCTATAAACTGTGTCATAGGAATCAAAATGGCCGCACCCTATGATGGGCGTGTCGGACCTCTCTCTTGCCCCGTATAGTAATCAGAGTATGTGATTCTGTCACGATTTGACCTTACTGCGCATGTCACTCGAGTAAAATTATAAGAAATGATGTCAACAACGAAAGCTGTGTTGCAAGACGTACCATTATTATCGTATTTGTATGATATACTAAAAAATTGCCCAATTTTTATTTTCCAACTTACGAGCTAGATTGAATTTTTGTTGGATACACACGTTTAATGCTTTTAATATTTTTGTAATATATTATTATATGCGTACAATTAAAAATATTTTTAATTACAGGGTGATTCACAAATGTAAGGGTAGTTTTTTTGCAAAATCTCACTATTTCTAGTGTGACGTCAGGAAAGCATTTCGACAACTAGTCATAGGATTAAGTTGAGCCTTTTTACACTTTTAGTTACTAGGTTGAGTACAGTAAAATACCAAAATTTCAGAAAATTTGACCGGTTGCTACTTTACATAAGGAAATACGTGAAATGTGTAAATTTTAAACCTACATATAAAATGATAAATGTTTAAAAATGTATAGACAAAAACAATTTGAAGATCAAAATCAGAAAGTATTACATGATTACAAGAAATAGTATATTACATTACGAGTGTGGAAAGTGACATTTTTCACACGAGCAGGAAATATTGTCGCACGAGGCACAAGTCGAGTGCGACTATCACTTACCTACCTGTGCGTGAGCGATCTTTTAATTTTAGATGGCTCCAGGCTGCACAGGTTAGGTAAATCAGGTAAGATTTTTTTAACTATTTCTGTAAAAACAACAGCGCTATTTTGAAACGCGCTATTTTAAACACGCTATTTTGGTCGACGGTATTTAGTGACAACGCCATTTAGGACTGATGTTGTTTCATACTCACTCACACTTCAAAAGACGCTATTTATTTAGGCGATATTTCATTCAGGCGCTCTTTTCATTTGTGTTATTTTGAGTAGTCGCTATTTCGTTCGGCGCTATTTTGATCGGGCGCTATTTCGTTTAGCATTATTTGATCAGACGCTCAAACGATAACGCTATATTGATAAGCGCTATTTCGTGACAGCCACAAAATGTTGGCATATCAACCTATGGCAATAACCACATACTTTGATTTTCTCTTACTATACAGAGAATGATCGCACTGCGCAGCTTTCCGAATGCCTTTTAAAAGGAAATAGAAAACTCCGCCATTTTGAACACTTATTACGTATTGCGCAATAGTTTTAGTGGTTATGTTATAATATTTACCCAAAGTCAGTCCCAAAAGATATTATTTACAAACCTACACATTACAAAACCATTAATAAATAATGAATATCTTGAAAACCTTGCTTTACTTGGTGATTTTATGTTAAATCTTTCCATTTGTAAGTAACAGTAACTACTTTAATTATATTCCTGTTGTTGTATTCTAAATGCTCTTCATTTTTTAAGGTCTCCTAGGAATTTTGAGCACTTAACTTGAACAGTGTTTACAAACCATTAATCAAATTGTTTAGAAATTATTTTTAGCCAAACTCTGTTATATCTGTTCTCAGCATTTTGAAGAAAATACTTATTGTAAAAAGGTACGTGATCAATCATGAAACAATTCTTTGTAGAAGGCAAATACCAAGAATATTGAAGCATTTACTTCAATAGATAGGAGCAGTAGTAAAATCAAACGAAATAATATAAATATTGTTTACTTTTTGGAATATTTATATTATAATAATTGTTTTTATTTATTTCAGGTTTACTACCTCTGAATCGTCTACACACCTGAAAGTAGAGGTAGCCCACAGCCTCACTAAGAAAATAGCCCCCTTTTTATTTGGTACAGTAAACTGTGTAACAATTCCGGATAAATGGAAATTTGTGAGAAGCAAAAGCACCAGTGATCCAGGTTCATTGATTTTGTACGTTAGACAAACACATGACACATAAAAGTAACAAAATCTTTTAGAGCCATCATATGTCGACATCCTTTTTGCTATAGAAGCAGAAAGTAGGGCAATCTAATATTAATACAATTAACAAACTTGTGTAATCTTTGAAAACGAGAATATTGGTGTGGAGGTGGTGGCAGTAATACCCATAGAGGTATTTTCTTGAATAGAAAATATTCAGTAATTTCTTACGGTGTAACTGAAAGAAGACTCATTTGTAGATGAATAATACATCTGATTTAGTTAAAAATTTAACAACTACATATAACTAATTTAAAGAAAATAACTGTTATACAAATTCAACGTGTCTGTCTCTCAGATAAATTATAAGATAAAAACCAACTATCTTTTGCAGCTTGCCTGAAAGGGTATATCCCTCTGGTAATATCTTTTAGTTAGAGCTTGTTTAATCTCACATTTCTTTGTTTTTATTTTATAGTTTCGTACCATATTTACAACTGAAAAAATGCAAAATATAATATATTGTTTAGCCTCAAACATTTTTATTACATTATAAAAATAAAATGTTTGTTCATGGGCATGTGATTGGCGAAAAATATCATAATATTAAGGTAAAATCATATGCACAGTTTTAAAAATAATTTAAAATCACTCACCTTTATTTCAAGATGCACTTGCAATTATAACTTTACTTCAAAAAAGTTTCTTGTATATTATTTAAAATAAATAAACGTTTCTTCTACATTTGTTGCCTTCATTTAAAATCTCAAAATACCAAGATGTAGTCTACTAGTTTAACATTTTGGAAAAATGTGTTGCCTAACCTAGTAGTAATTGAATCAAAATGTGGCAATAACGCAAAGATTCAGGTTGTCTAATTACGTAATCTGAACCTATGAATGGCTTTATGCATCGCACAGACATCTTTTAAAAGAAGCTGGTTTGGGAGCTATTAATATTGAAAATTAAAACAAAATAAAATTTACATTGGTAATTTTTAATATCTATGAATAGATCTGAAGCCAGCTTGCCAATACAAAAGGAATGGGATGTGGGTAATTAAGACAAATCTTAAACTATTCATAAGAATTAACTGTCATATTATTTAGAATAAAATTTCCGATAAATTTTTTATTAATCGACACAAATGTCTTGAAACAATAACCGTTGTTTTTGACTCGATGGTTCGAAATGGACTGTATGTTCGCGACATGCCCTCAATTATTCATTTATTAAAAAAATTAATAATCAAATTAATTTATAAAAGCAACCAATTTTACATTTGAAAATTTAAAATACAAACGGCCGTAACCAGAAGCAAACGAAGATAGATTGATTATTGAGAATGTCGAGGAGCAGTTTTGTCTCGTTTCGTGAGGTTTGAGTGTTTATTTTTTTATGAAAATAGTTAAATATTTGCGTATGCAAATAAAAAATCAATAAATTGTTTTGTGACATTCCTCCTTACACTCGCTCATAGAAAACATGTTTCTAACATATAAGTAATGAACTAGTAAAATGCAAATGGCTCACATCTTACATTTCTTCTTTTTTACTTTTGCCCGAGCACCCGCAAATAATTATTAAGCAAAGTAAATGTCCTTTTAGAACAGGCAGCTGTTTTCAGATCTATCAAATTGACCTACTAGAAATATACATTACATGTGTGTAATAAAATCGTTCTCACGTTACCAAAGTCACCAAGAAATATTGAAAATCGCTGTTATTTTCTCAGTTTCTTGAGGTACCTTCAATTAGACTATTATTGGATTTACTAGCGCAATCTATTAACACATTAAGAAAGCAACCGTTTTCCGCTAGAGCTGTTGGCCATCCCTTTATTATTTACGAGACTATGACTTGTAATTAGATCAAAAGTAAACACTTACCTTTCTGTTGTAGGATCTGCACAATTCAGCGGATATTTCAGTTCTATAATCTCTCCATTTTTTTCCTTTAACTGCCCCTGTTTCTCCATATAATATTGGACCAGTTCCGATAAAGTAGCAAATTTTTCGCCGCCATACAAATCATAGAAATCGCCGGAGTTTTGAATTTTAATATGAGTGACCTCGCCATTGCGCCTGTCAACAATTTACGAATATAAGTATTCTGTATGAACGTTAAATATTTAGTTAAAAAACAGTTGGTGGCATAAAAAAGGAGGCCCTAATACAAAGGTTTTTTTTTGGTCAACATTTTTTTTAGTCATTTTTTTTATTCCAAATTTTTTTTGGTCCAAATTTTTTTTATTCCAAATTTTTTTTGGTCCAAATTTTGTTTGGTCAAATTTTTTTGGTCCAAATTTTTTTGGTATAAATTTTTTTGATATAAATTTTTTTGATCCAAATTTTTTTTGTTTAAAATTTTTTTTGGTCAAAATTTTTTTGGTCCAAATTGTTTTGGTCCAAATTTTTTTGGTCCAAATTTTTTTGGTCCAAATTTTTTAGGACTTTTTTTATATTTTAACCCCTCCTTAACCCCCTAATGTATTTAAATTTTTTTCAGAATTAATAGGCTTCATCTTCTTATAGAGGTTGATTTTTACTAAAAATTTCATGTTGATATTGCTTTTCGTTTTTGATTTATGATTTTTTTATTATTATTATTATTATTATTGCAACCCCCTTAAATCCTCCATTTTTAATCAAATTTTGTTCAAAATCAAACGTTTTCTTCTACTTATAGAGCTTGATTTTTGCTAAAAATTTCAAGTTGATATTATTTTTCATTTTTAAGTTAAATTATTTTTTAAATTTCAACCCCCCTTAACCCTCCCATTTATGTTCAGATTGTTTTCAAAATCAATAGGCTCTGTCTCCTTATAGAGCTTGATTTTTCCTGAAATTTTCAAGGTGTTATCATTTTTAGTTTTTGACTTATTGTGTGGACAAAAAACGTAACATGGAAAGGACAGAAAAAAGTAAACCTATAGTACTCTTCACAGACTAGGAAACTTAGTTCAATCCTTTGTTTGGCGACGAGGAAAGAGAAAGGATGTGTATTTCAGAATCCCAGTTGAAAACAAGCCACTACAGGCTTTTCTAGCCTCTTCAGCCACACTGGAGAGACCACCCAGACAACACACCAAATCCCAGAGATATCCACAGAATATATTTTGTGGATATCCAATATATCCACAGGATATCAGAAATATTCCGTGGAACTAATATGGATATCCAAATGTCCGTCTATATCCAGAATATAGAAGATATCCTATGAATATTCAGCAAAATATCTAATGAGTATCTCCAGACAATACAAGAAATCCCAGATATATCCATAGAATATATTTTGTGGATATCCAACCAAATGTCCGTCTATATCCCAGCAGGATATAGAAATTCAGATAAATATTTTATAATTATTTTTAGTAGAGGTTCATAAGTAACCAATGGTTATTGAATAACGTCGAAAGAAAATAGAGATAAAAAATATTCTCAACAATCTGCCTTTGATTTTGCCTACTAAGGAGAAAATCATCCTTATTAGGAATCTTCAGCAATAAATGGAACTTCTCGACTTCAGTCTCTAATGAAGTCTGTTTGTGAAACAATGTCGATCAAACTCAATTACGGCGGGTTAAGCATGAGTAGATACGAAAGTGGTATCGCCATCTATACTTAGGAAGCAAAATCAAAAATTACATCTAGTAGATATCCACGATGGTTTGCGTCCGCGCTTAGACTTTGATATATTTATATTTATAGTGGATGTCCATGGGATATTGAATACACCTTAAAAAAATTAATTTTAAATATCTCAACGGTACTATTAGCCACAATGGCGAGTACAATGGCGTAATTTTTTAATAATTTGCTATATAATTACAATTATTTATGGATATTTGCATGTCTATAAATTACATTTCATGGATATAAAATAGATATCCACCATGGACTGGACATTCAGTGGATATTGGGATGTTCAGTAGATATCCAAAGGATTTGGTGTGCTGTCTGGGCAGAGACTAAATCTGAGGGGAAAGGGTGTAAAGAACTAATCCAGAATTGGTTTATTGCTATGAGAAACCTTGCAGGCTTATTTCTGTTAAAATTCCCCCAAATTTGATCTGAAAATCCTATTTTCTGGCTTTACAGACAACCCAGTGGTAACTTTTTAAAAAGCCATTTTGTAGAGCTTTTAAAGAGGAATTTAATGATACAAACCACCTTTTTCTAGTTTAAACGATAGTCAAGTTATTTAACAAAAACGTTTTTCTCTTAAAATTTAATCTGAAAGTCCTATTATCTTGCCTTAGGGACAGCCTAACATGAATTAGTAAAAACCAGTTTCTAGAGCATTTAAAGAGAAAACCACTTCTTTCTAGTTTAAAGGATAGTCAAGTTATTTAACAAAAACACTTATATCTGTTAAAATTCCCCCAAATTTTGTCTGAAAATCCTATTTTCTGGCCATAGGGACAACTTAGCACTGACTTTTTAAAAATAATTTTGTATATAATTATAAGCAACCATGGTGGAAGTATTTGTGAATTTGTATCCAATCCATATCCATTTTTATTCAATGGGTATATTTGACAAGGTACGGAGTACAAGTGTACCAAATCTATGTGAAGAAATAAATAGGCAAAATTGATAAAACACTCTGTATCTCAGTTATAAATGACCAAGTAACCATTAAAGAAGAGTTATTTAGAATCACCTTGCTGACCTGCATCCACATTTAACGAATATCTGTCTCCCAATGACTAAATAGGGACTTTAAATAATAACTTTGAAGAATGCGATAAACATTTAAGTTTGATTGATGATAGAATAAGTAATAAGAACTTTGGAGACAAACATTTAGTCTTCATGGAACACTACCCTCAATTATTATCAATTAAAATGAAAATACCTAAGTACCTTCAGCAAGTCTTCAGATACCTTATTATAGAAGAATTATAGAGTTGCACTATCAAAAAAAATTATAGTAAATGCTTCAAAGTTCATCATCTTCCCAGTACATTATAAATTATTAGCAATAAATTAAAAATAGGCATGTTTTATACAAAGGTACTGACATCCTAGGTACAGCCATTAGAATGTGTACCAAACATGTATTGTTTATATTATTTAAATATTATTAAGAATTATGATAGAAATATCAAGTATATTATTATATAAATAAATAAGTATTTGTATTTTTTACTTAGGTATATGAACCTATTTTTATTTAATAAATAGGTAGGGTATAATTTTAAATAATACCTTACCTAACAGACAGCGTAAAATCGCCGGGATTTGAAGAACTAGGTCGGGCTAGGAAACTACAATCCACCCCTCTTTCCATCAACAACTTTTCAGCATCAATGCCGCTAATTGTAGGCCAAAACCATCTACAAATTTTACAATTATCTATCATAAGTACAAGAACATTATTCATTTTTTGTTTTTGAAATCAATTTTCAAAAATTGTTAAATAAAAACATGACAGGATATCTGATAATTTAGTATTTAAAAATAGTTACCTTCTGGAACTCATATTATCTAAATTCTAAAGAAAAATTGCGTAAATATACCAAAACAAAATAAATTAACATCCAGGTCTAACTTCCAAGTTGATCGCCATTTTGAAAATACGAGGATTAATCAAAACGAAATCGTATCATTAATTAAAATCGTTTGGCTTTATCTGCTGTTTTGAAACAGTGCAATTAATGTTTTAGATACAAAATCATATTTGTTTAATATTATAATTAATTTATATAATCTAGAAATTGAACACAAAATTGCGTGTAAATATCAATATTTGGGTTTCATCCTACTATCCGGAGGTGCGAATTTGGAAATTTTGACACTAGTTTATTGAAGTAACTGACTTTTTATAATATTTTAAGTAAAATTAAGTAAGGAAAATTATTTTGTGTTCGATATTTTTATTTAGATTATAATTAAATACAATATTTTGATCATTTAACCTAACTTTTATCATTATTTCCTTCCACAAAACATAAAATAATTTATGGATTTGTCTATCGGTCCTTGAGTTTGCAACGTTGCCACGTTGTTGAATTTAAAATCACTATGTGTGATGTCCAAGTTTGTATTTAATAGCAATAATTGTGTTGTCATTTGTGGATTGAAATATTTATTATTGTCTCTATAACTAATAATAAAAATAATTAAAATTAAAAGTGTCCTTGATATTGTGGACGTTTATAAAAAATGGAAAAGAATTACTAACATAGTTGGTGAACGCGCGCTCTTTTTCCATCTACACCATAAGAGCATCATACTACGATTACTATAGGTCTTTTTCTTTGCATCGAAAGTGTAGCAATTTTTCTATGGTGTAGCACTGATCGCTACACCACTTTTGAAAATATCAGGTCTTTTCCTTTGCATCGACAGTGTAGCACTGAGCTACGTTACTTCTGAAAATGTCGTTCCATCCATACAATTTGTATAAATGTAACGATATTTTCAGAAGTGGTGTAGCTCAGTGCTACACTTTCGATGCAAAGGAAATGACCTGATACCTTTCGTTTGGCCCGGTAGAAAATCCACTACACCTTCCTGTCGGCGATGTCCACTGGTGGATATTTCCTCCACCAGCTATTTAGCAGGAGTGAATTATTGACAAGGGGGGTAGCCATGTGTGAGTTCAAGTAATTTTAAGGTGAAGGGGGAGAAAAAGTCCTTTATATCTCACAAGGAAAGTTAATATTTAATTATTCAGTAAAACATTGAGTGCGACCGGTTTCGAAGTATCATCACTTCATCTTCAGGCTCGTCTAGTGAAAAGGAGAATATGTGGTGTAAGCGTGTGTTAACTTTGAGCCAACGATATATAAAATAGTAAAAGAGAAAAACTCACCATACTCTCCATCCACTAGGGAATACTACAAATACAAGTTTCATCAAATGTGGGGGATGAAATAAATTGTAAAATAAACAATGTTACAAGTTATATAAAAGTTAAAAATATTTGAAAAACAAATATTAGTCAGTTTAAATAGTTAAAAATTTAAAATTTTCAAGACTATACAAAACAAAACACATACATTAAACAGATTAAAAGAGAAGGCTTATTTTAAACACATTGTTGTTTGTACGTAAGTTACATATGTTTACATTATCCAAGTTAATATTGTCTTTGAATATCAACTGCTATTTTCATAATGAATGTAGATATAGGAAACACTACTTACGACAAATTTTCAGTTTTTATATATATATTTTTTAAAATAATGTGAACCTAGAAAAAATATTGTTGTTGCCTCTTTCTGTTTCAAGCGGCGTTTAATACACAAATAGCTATTTTAAGAAAAGGGCGTCTTCCCAATATTAACAGAAATTTAATTTTTACATTTTATGTACGATTATTATCGTAAGTAAACCATAAATATATATGATTTTTGATCACTTCAATTTTTTATAATCTGGCAATTTATAGATTATAACATAATCTTGAAACTTATAATTTCATGAACAACCTGGCAACGTTGTTATTTCTAAGGCACAATCTGTCACTTAGAATGAATATTTTATGAATATAACCTGTAAAATTGAGTTTTTTTGATTAATTTTTTTCGAAAAATGCTGGTTCATCCGTAAATTTTTTTACAAAAATGTACTATAGAAACTAGTGCCTTTTGAGTGTTTAATTTTTTTTTGTGAAATTCGCACCTCCGGATAGTAGGATGGACCCCAATATTTGTCTACCTATATATTGATCCATCCTTATATAATTTTACCCCACCTTAATTAAATGGATCTGAATAATTAGCCCAGTATACCTATATACCAATTAATTAGTGCGAATTAAAATAGGAACTAATTTAAAAATATTTTCCATTTTCATAAAACCTTATTTTTTAAGATACATGGAAGTAAATAAGAAATAATATTCTAACAAAATTTATTTACAATTAATTGGAACATATCACTACATGAAAGGTTATTAAGTTACTAAGCTAGGTGCTGTATCGTGCGAAATCCCTTCTGACAATAAATTCTGTTTCTCCAAAAGTTCTTTTTGTTCTCTTTCAGGCTTAACTTGAGTAAAATATTGATAATAATGCCATCCTATTTCCGAACCAGCGTAAAACGTAACACCTATGCAAGCCCATACAAATCCTTTGTGTAATTTGTCTAATAACAAATTTTTAATTGGATTCTTCTTCATATTTCAAACAAATTTTACAGAAATTCATTAAACTTTTGTATTCCAAAATGGTATTTTTTTATTTTTGTATTTTATAAACTAACCTCACTTTCTTTTAAATGTCATCATGGTTATTTGTCATTTTTATTTGACATTTGAATTATGGGCGATTGCATATGGCGAACTAGTGTTTCCTATTTCCAGTGACGTACGGAAAAGTTTAGGGAAGAGAATATTCAATATTCTTTATTCAACGATATGTAAACTACGGATTGATCTCTTCTTGAAAAGAAAGTAATTGGTATTGTTTTTTTATAAATCATCAAAAACTTTAAAATGTAGAAGTTTATTTAGATACATAGTTTTGGGGATAACATGAAAAGATTTATTTAAATAAAATAGGTAGACAAGCAGTAGAAGAAAATTTAATTTAAATGATACATTTTTCTTTTAACAACTTTAAACAGGTTTGTTCCTAGAAATAAAAGTAAAAACTATTATACGGTGTCGGTCACTGAATTTCTTTCAATACGTGATGCGTGTGGAAGCTACAGAGAGTAGGAATTGTAACGAGAGAATAGAAATGATGTCAACGTTGTCATTTATACGAACTAACCGCGTTAAAACAGATGTCCCCCAAAGAAAATCATCCGATGTGTTTCGGGAAATTTTTCCAATTACTATGGGATAAGAAATATACGGAACACACTGGTCCATAAATACTGCAAAACGATTGGTTAAGGAAATCATTCAAAAAAGATGTAAGAATATTCTTGATTCAACAAAAGTATAAATACATAAACAACACTAAAAAGCATTTAAAAACAAATGTCCGATTTTGAGATTATGGGTGCTATGATTGAACGTTTACGTTATCCGTAACATACATGTTAGGCCGAATTTTAAAAGTAACGAGGCAAATTCGTATGATGGAAACCTGTTAAATTAGAACATAACAGGCGGAAAATAACAGTAATGTGTTATGAAAGATTTTACATCATACGAATTTGTCTCTTTGCTGTTAAAACTCGGCCTAACATGTACGTTACGGATAACGTAAACGTTCAATCATAGGACCCATTATCTAAATTTCTCAAAAATATATTGGATGGAAGATGGCCATAATTCGTGAAATGCAATACTGGTGCCATCTATCAACAGATAGTCACACTATCGAGTTGCACATATTACTTATAGAGGCCGAAACTTGATTTTAAATTAACGCACTTTTCTCTCACGCTCATGGAGAAACGATTATTACTCACGTTCAGGCCTCGCAACGAAATCGAGACAGGCGTAACAAAAAAGCTACAAAAAAGTTACGAAACACCAGCTGGGTCTGAATCTGTGCCGCTACTATGGAATTTATGGAAATTCAAGCTAGCGGATCCGCTGTTTTTTCGGACCTGGGCTAAGCTACAAATTTGCAAATAGTGTAACAAAAAAGCTACAAAAAACTCGCCAAGTCTTGAATGGTGCCGCCACAGAGTGCCCGCTAGCTTGATATAGCTTTTGGTGGAATCCACAAAGCACGTATCCTCGTGGAATCAGCTCTTTAGTGACGTCATATCTTTTAACGAAAAATTCCCTTATTTTGGAACAGTTTCCTGTTTAACGTTTTTTGACATATCAGAAATTAATGTTCTGTAATATCATAAAGATGTCGCTGTAATAATAAGTCAGAAGTCAGGTTGTAAAACTTCTAGGAATTCGTTTACGTGAACCCAACCCAAAAGTGCAGTTTTATTATAGTTTGTATCAATTTTTAAGTTGTTTTTTACAATATTTTAGTAACTAAGGTGTGTAATACGTTAGTTTTGTGTTGTTTATTTTAAATACCATTGAAAGTATGCCCTGTAGTGTTTCAGGAACTATTATATTTACATGGAACGACGCTTGGAATGCACTAAAAATGGCAGATTTTACAAAAAAATATTCCTACATAATTCTAATCACATCTTGACACATATTACAAACTAGAAATCGTTTTGACATACCTTACATTTTTCACAAAATATACATATTTAAAGTTTAATAGTGACTGCACTGATTCATGATTTTCACATTTGAATGTGTCAAATTTGACAATTAAAGCTCATTAATTTTTCAGTATTTAATATGCAGACCATCAAGTGTGTAGTGGTCGGCGATGGAGCTGTTGGTAAAACTTGTTTATTAATTAGGTAAGCCAACAAAGTTTTAGTCAAGAACTAATCTAAAAGTGGTTTTTTATTTTAGTTATACTACAAACAAATTTCCTTCCGAATATGTCCCTACTGTCTTCGATAATTATGCTGTAACTGTTATGATAGGTGGTGAACCCTACACCTTAGGTTTATTTGATACTGCAGGTAAGCTAATCAAATACTACTACAAACTGTTTTAATTAATTTATTACTTTATTTATTATACCCAGTGTTGCCGAATCAAAAATGTAAAATTTCCCAGTTAATCCCAAAATTCCCCCTTTATCCAATCATGGTTTTAAAAATTACCCACTTTTCCACCCACACTAAAAA